GATAAGACATTTTGTAAATACAAGGGGTCCTTGACTTATGTCAGAGATCCGTTCCTATGGCACAACATAACCTAATTTTTGACATAGGTCGGAACTCGCCTACATAAGCACCCACGAGTCTGCTTTATGCTTGGGAGCCATAATAAAGGGCAAAAAGTTCCCCCAACACTTCCCTCATATAGCTTTGCGTGATGACATATTATGTTATGGGAGAAGGTGCCATAATGAAATGCTGTATGTTGGGTTTGATGTAACCCAAGGACCTTCTGTACTTGTTTCAAAGAGGAAAGAAATTGTCTTGATTATTTAAAAAAAGAGATTACATTTATAACTTTTAGCATAAAGTGTAATTTTGAGGCAATAAAAAAAAGTAAAAATAATTTCTATAATCAAGAATAATAAATATAAAAAACAAAGAACAGAAAGAATAATTTAATCTAGCCTATTTTAAAACAAAATTAGATCAATTCTAATTTTACTATTTCTGGTGGGGAGGTGGGGAAATTATAATAGTGAAAAATAAAACAAGAATTTATACTCCTAGCCACCAGAACACAAATTTATTCACATCATTATATATATATATATATACACACACACACACACATATATAAGAAATGAAAATCTTTGTAAACTGTATGGATAATCCCAAGAAGGATGAAATCTGGAGAGCTCAATGTTAAATCAGAGTGATTATTTTCTATTTTTTGTTTTTTGATAGAATATTCATTTTATATTAAATTCCTAGTTTATTTTGTGGAGAATTTAAATACTTAAATTACTATCAAACACTAACTGAAAAAGTCAATTTGAATTTATAATTTTAAAAATATGTAAATCTGTGTTTTTCCAGATTGGCCTCTATATGCCTAAATACATTAATTCTTTTAATCTCCCTCTTCAAATTTTTATCCCCCTTTCTTTCCTTCAAAACCCTAATTCCATCTCTTATTTCTTACATCTTTCCTTTTCTCTTTTTTTCTCTCTGTATCGTTTCCAGTGAGTTGACCTATTAAATAGGTCAATGTCTGATTCTAACACCCACTTCCTCACTATTAAGTATTGTAATAAAAATAAATTTAAAAAAACATTCCTATCTCTCTCTTCCCTCTCTAATTTCGAACATGTCTGTCACACTATCTCTCATCACTTTCTATATGACCTTCTTATATCAACTTAATACTACCCTCAAAAAGTATAAAAAATTATATATAAATTTAAATTCATTTTTTCACCCTTGGAAGTGTGGTCTGATGAGGCAGGGAAAAAGAAATTCCCTATGGAAATAAATTATAACCATGGACCCTTAAAGTTGTCTGTTTTCATTAAATATATCATATATATATATATATATATATATATATATATATATATAGTAATGATACAATATGGTAATCTGTATGGAATTTCCTGGAAGATCTATGATCCAGGGAAAGCTCTATGTCAAAATTATTATTAATTAAAGAATATCAAACACTTAAAATCCCACAGGTAATAATTTTTATTTCATAAGAGCTCTAAAAAAAGCAGCTCTCAATCTTCAAGACCTACAAACAAATCATAAATGAAATGGAAAAAATATTTCAGGTTAAAATCAAGAGATATTCCTATTTTATTTGGAGAGTCATTACCAACCTTTGTTTGATTATTATATTCAGTAATCTTCCCTAGGTTACAATTTATAAATAATTTGTTGAATGAAATATATCAGCATTGAATTTTGGCTGTCGACAGAAACAGTTGGGATTGTTCACACTGAACTAACAACACTTTAAGCCATTCCATCATCCTCAAGCCGTTCCACCATTCCCAAATGACATTATATCAAAATAGGCTTCCACTCTGATTTTTCTTCACCCTCTAAATAAAATATCAATATCTCTGGATTTTAACCTGTAATGTTTTTTTTCAATTTCATTTGTGATTTCTTTGTAGGTCTTGAAGATTGAGAGCTGCGTTTGATAAGTGTTTGATATTCTTTAATTAATAATAATTTTGCTCTGTCTTTTGACAGAGCTCTCCTTGGATCATAGATCTTTCTGGAAATTCTTTAATTAATAAATATATATATATATATATATATATATATATATATGTATGTATGTATATGTATGTGTGTGTGTGTGTGTAGAATCCAGTTAAAAATTGTAGAAAAAATTCACTAAAAACTCAATTCTGTGTAAAAGTATGCTCACAGGAATGACAAATTCAAATTCTCACATTAGCATTTACTTAACAATCAGTGAGGTTGTCTCAAAACACAATTCAAGTTTGTTGTCTGCCTAAAATAAAATGAAGCTCACATCCAGAAAATAATATTTTCCCTCCTAAAAAAAAAAAAAAAAAAAAAAAAAAAAAATCGATATTAAAAATTGGGAAATATATTTTTTTGCCAATAAAATTTCTGGGTTTAATAAATCTAACTTTTAGCTTCCTGTGATCTGATCTTTTTATTATAAATAGTGTAAAATAAAATAATAAATTAGTCTTCAATATAACTTTGATAATATAACTTCAATAATAGACATACTCAAAACTTATTGAGTACTAAGTTCCTTTTTGTAAAGTTTTTTTCTCATTTTTAAAGTATTTTCATAAAGCAGTTTGCACAGTTTACATTATAAAAATACCCAAGCATCACATAAACAAAGCATAGCTGTATTCATGCTGATACTGCCTGCTACTGATCATATAATATAATGCTAATCATGGATTTTCTCATGATAATTTCACAAATACTTTTTACCTTATACTAACACATTTCATTTCTTTTGTGTTGTAAAAAAACATTTTTCATATGAGCTTTGTTTGCAAGGAACTTTATAACTTGTTTCTTTCAACTTAAAAGGTAGTATTATTAATACAATAATATTAAAATTCACTAATCAGTGTTTGATGTTCAATTTTGTTATCACATGAAATATTGAGTAGTAGATTTTAATATTATTATATTAATAATACTATATATAATATATGTAAGCTCTGCCAACTTTGGTATTGAGCCATTTATTTTATATTTTAAGCTTTACTATATATATATATATATATATATATATATATATAAAAAGAGATAGCATTCTCAATGTAGGCTGGTTGTTATTAATTTCACTATTTAAGAAGACTAGAATAGCAACTCAATTATGTATGCCTACAAAAAATAATAATTATAGTAATAAAAAATATAACACACTACAAATTAATATAAAAAACCTTGAACAAAATAAAATTACACGTGATTAACTATATGCATATAAATGATATATATTTTAATCAACCACTAAATAAATACAATATCTATCTATACTCATTAAGCTTAGCATTGTATAACCCATGATTAAATACAAATAGGAAGATTGTATTGTGGTAATCTTATCTCACTCTCTCTCTCCTATTATATATTTGTATAGCCAGTATGCCTTCCAAACTGATATCAATGGATCACAATATATAATGATATATATATATGATCCCAATATGTAATATGTATATGATCTCTTCACAAATACATGCATGAAAATGTGTAAATACAATTGTATACTACAACAAATTGGTTTTGTTTTCTTATTCTAAACTTTAAATGATTAATATATTGTCGTCTTAAAAATTTGTTCAGTTTACAGGTTGAAATTATATATTTTTGATTATTCACAACCTCAACAGTAAGAAAAGGAATTTATATAGACAGATGAAATATTTCAAAGAAAAATAAAAAATTTGGCTAAAAAAAAAAAAAAAAAACTCCCAAAAAACACTGAAACTCTAAAAAAACTTTTTAGAAGCAGTGGTTTATACTGATAGTTTCATTTCTTACAGTTCATAACAATTTTTGTTGCAATGCAAACAATTCAATATCATTCAAAAGATGAACAAAGCCAGAAGCAAGCCAAAAGGAGAAAAGAAAAAAATGGCAATGTTTAACCTTTGTGCCCATCAAAAAAGGGTGTGTGTAAAAAGGATTTTTTTTTCTGTTGACACCACTATTACTTTAAACTACTGAGACTCCCTTGTCAATGTTTATTTACAAGATTATAAAAATAAGAAAACCAGATACAATGCAATATTTATTATTTACCTTTTATAAAGAAATACATTTGAAAAGAAATCTTTTTTTTTTAAATTTATAAAAACCTATAAAATTTTCAATAAAATCTTTGGAATGGTTAGCAAAACACTGGCAAATTGCCAATCAATTCAAACTTTATAAAATGGTAAATAATAAAAATTTCATTATATTAAGTTCATATATTTTTAAGATTTCATAATTTTTTTTATAAATTTAGGAACAAAAAAATTATTTTCATATTTATTTCTTTACAAATTGGTAAATGAAAAATATTGCATTGTATTAATTGGTTCACTTTTAGAATATTGTAAATATAAAATTATTTTTGTAAATAATCTAATACATAGTGTTTAATATTTTTGTCATAAATTATCAAAGAAAGAAAATGTATAAATTCACTTTCGTGTTTGAGTTTTATTAAAATTCTAATAATCACTTCTTAAAACAATAAACATTGCCAAGGAAGTGACGTTAATACAAAATAAGAGCAGTGTCAGGGATAAAACTGTCCTTTTGACGTCATTTTTTTGTGGGCACAAAGGTTAAACTTTGCCAAAAAACCAAGTGAAACATACAATTAAACTAAGAAAATCTAATTTCTAGTTTTCAATTTTGTTTGAAAACAGGCAGATTTATATAAATACAGTTTTTTTTTGTTCTGAGCATTTGTTCCCCATTGGCAATAACACATTTTAATAATAAATACTGACCTCCTATTTTACAAATAAAAATAATCTAGCAAATGATTTGTGCCAGAAATTGAAGACGCTGAAAATGATTATAAAAAAAAAATGAAATAAGTGGTCAGATGATGAACTGAAGATGAAAACACGTTAGTAGTGTAAGTAATGTTAGTGACGACAAAGACAGCTGACAGCTATCGCACAAGTCAGAGCACTCGTAAAGATCAGGCACAGAATCAAATTCTTGTTTTTACCCCATTGATTGCAACGTCATGTGAGGAATATTTAGGGTCATCAATATTTATCTTAGCCAGGTCCTCATCAATCTAGAACAAAATACATTTGTTACAAGAAAAAAAAAGTCATGAGGACATCAAAGTAAAAAGATTATCAGAAACCACCCACAGAAAAATAAAAGTTTTATTCCTGGAAATAATAAAAAATATAGAGAAAACATGAACATTGTCTAAAAGCAAAAGTGGGTTAATTCTGTTGCCTTTCACAAACCTGTCAAAATATTGTAATGTCTCTTCTGAATCATAAGAAAAATTAATACTGTACCAGAAAATATTTGATTTCAAATGATTCAACCTTTCAAACCATTTTTTTATCAAACTTTCAAATACAATTATATATGCATTGATAGTCTGATTCATATCATATCATTCATATTATTAATATATATAATAAATATTGCTGATTATTAAAAATATTTTTATTCAGCCAAGAGCAATAGAAAAAAAACAAAACAAAAAAGAACACATCATATATCATAGAAAGAAAAAAAAAAGAGATGAGACAAAGGAAAAAAAAGAAAAAGTCAGCACAATAAAACTTACAGTTGACCTTTAAGCACTAAAAGATTATCTTACCATTGTTGGATATATAATTCTATTAAACAGAACATGGAGGTAATATCTTTTGATGACTTTCTCCTGGTGTTAAATAAGTCACTTAATGTCAGATAGAAACTTGTTGAAATTATGCATTATGTTCTAAATATTTTTTACCATTGTTGATAATTTTCAAGGAAAGATAGAAAGTCACAAAATAGGCAGCAGAGGCTTTGTGTTGTTAACAGTTTAAAGTTATATAACAACAGTTATATATATAAAAAAATAAACAGATAAATAAATAACTATTTCAATCTAATAAAAAATATATATAATAAACTCAGAAATGGAAAGAAAAAAAAACATAAAAATTTATTCTGTTTTAAAATATTCAAGCCTCTCAAATTACTAAGTTGAAATGTTCATCACTTGTAATTGTTAGGATATTGCACCCATACACAGATCTGCAAAAATGAATTTAAAAATATTTTCTTTTTACCAACACATGAGAATTTATAATTGAGTACAAACTCAGTTTCAATATAACTTCAAATTTTATAATTGAAAAATTATTTTTCTTGACAATTCAATATCTGGTATTTATTTAAAAAAATAAACTTTGTATATTTTAAATAATATATAGATGATTTTTTTTTGTTAATAACAGTTGGAATATAGATTTATAATCAAAACAAATATGCTTGTAATGATCTGAGATTTGTCAAAAAACTATAATTTGTTGTCTGACATATATATTTTTTAATACAATAATAATCAGGTTATACACCAGGTTTCATTTTTAATTTTCTTTTTAATCAATTCACTCAAAGCAATAATGCCACTAAAATGCAAGAGGCTAGTAGAAGGGAAAGAGAAGGAAAAAACATTAGAAGGAACCTGACCGCCCCCATTCTAAACAGTAAACAAGGGATAAACCTCTGTTCTTGTTTGAAAGATCAGGGAGAGGTGTGAACTGGACAACAAGCAAATTTATCTACTCCTATTAAGGGGAAAAGTAATTCAATAGTAAATAAAATTTCAGAGTTTAGCGGAGATATTAGATGTATAGAGTTGAAGTAGAATTTAGAAGGAACTGGAAACACAATTCTAAGCAGGAAACAAGGCATAAACTTCTACTCTTGTTCAAAAGACTGAGCAGGTGTGTGGAACTGGATGATAGGCAAACCTATTTACTTCTATTGAGGAAAAATACATAGTAAATAAAATTTGTGAGTTTAGGCAGAGATATTCAAGGTATAGAGTTGAAGTAGACTTTACAAGGAACTGGAAACCCAATAGTAAACATAAATCAAGGGATAAACCTCTATTCTTGTCCAAAAGACCCAGGAGGAGTGTGAAATTAACTAATATATAACAGAGTATTTAAGAAAAGTAATGTATATATCTGTATATTGTATACTTTAGAGTTTATGGCCATATTATGTTGAAACATCAGTTCTCATCTGATCACCAAAGTTAAGTAATGTTGAGTCTGGTCAGTACTCAGGTGATTACTGGTAATATGAGGTGCTGTAAGCTACATAACAGGCCTTAGAAAGCCAGCAATCTTGCTATTTATACTAACAGAAGACCTCAATGTGCCAGTGCTTTTGGAGTCTTAGGTCACAAGACCTACCAGGAGTTGAGTGAATGGTGAGTATGAGTGATTGTATACCTTGTCAATAATGTCCCAGTTATTTTATTTTTATAATGTTAGAAATATCTCCTTCTCAGGCGACACTAGGTGGCAGTGTCCTTGTTATGATAATGGACTCTTTCAAGAGGTTTACAAAACTGGAATGTGAAAAGACTGATTGTGAAAAAGCAAAATAGAATATATAATTTAAAACAAAATCTTACATGTGAAAACCTAATAATAGTAAATAATATTAAAGATTTAACAAAATATAGTAATTTTTCACAGTATAGGTAAACTAATGTATAAATACATACATTATATATATATATATATAATAATGGACTCTCCTGTCGGTTTCGACGTATGAGGATCTGACAGCTTTCTATTCAGTTATGAAAGTTAAAAATAAAATATATATATATATATATATATATATATATATATATATATAAATATATATATTCAGATATAAATGAAATATGTCAGTAAAAAGACAATATGAATAAAAAAAAAAGGAAAACTTTTCTTATAAATGCATTTTGTCCTCTCATAGACTTTAATGTGAGGATTTTATTTTGCAACATGTATTTATAAACAGAAGTTAAAAATATTGTTAGATTTTTGATATTTTTAAATTTGAGAATACTCAAAATAATTCTTCAGGCCAACTTTGAAAATCATGGTAAATTATGGAGGATGCTTAGTGTTATAATTTAACATCTAAGAAACAAGAGTTATACTTGTTAATGAATTTTTTATTTGTTTATATATTTATATTTATTTACTGTTTATATTAATGTAATTATTATTTTGTTTTGATAAATTATTTATGAACATATTTTAAATAATGGAAGGGTTTGATTTAGCCATTTTAAAATTTTTGTTTATATGCTTACTTATAGTTCACAAGAATATTCTTGAGTGTTTGTAAATTTAATAATTTTGAAAACCTAACAATGTTTTTACTTTTGTTTATTATACATTGTGGTTCAAAAAATAAAAGATAAAAAAGGTTCTCCCAGGATTTCCCACGTTCTTCTCTTATATCTCCTTCCTCTCTTGCAACCTTTCTCATATGAAACAAATAAAAAAAAAATCCCTGACTCCTATTTTCATTTGAGCTTTATAGCTTTTCTTTCTTCCCATAATTCATCTCTTTATGCAATATCTTTCTATAAAAAAAAAAAAAAAAAGTCACTGCCTGTCACTGCTTCTTCTCCCTCATCATGAGGTAAGTGACAGTCCATTTTCTCTTCTTCCTTCATTCGCACTATTGGCCTAAAAAATAATTTCACACAACATAGTCTTGTGCTCTGGTCAGTGCTTTGCACTCTCTCTGTGGTCTTTGCATTGGTGCCGTTTCATTTCTATCTCCTCCATGTTCAGCATTCACATTGTTTGCAAGGAACACTCACCACAAATCTGAAATATGCTGCAACATGCCATAAACAGTCAGGTTGTTAGGTGATTGCACTCCAATTACCACACACCACTCTCACTCATTGCACTGTGTATTTAATGGTATCACTCAAACCTCTTCCTCTATTTGGATTCTGGCCAGCACTTCCTCATCACTATTCAGGTATATGTCTTTTCATAGGTGAAAATTAATCTTTATGTTAGTCTCCTTTCTCTGTCTGACTTTAGGTACCATGTTGTACCAAAATGTTGCTTTGACAGGTGATATCCTTCTCTCTTGGCTATTGCTTTCACAGTCCGATGATGTCACTCCACTATTCTACTAGCCTGTATGCTATTCTGTATTAACTTATTTTCAATTTTTCAAGCATCACTTAGGTGGGACTTCTGAGTGGAAAATCATGCCATTGTCCATTACCACCTCCACCACTGGAACTTGTTCAAGAATCATATTCTCTGGTCCTTCTGCAACTACAGCTGCCATTTCAGCATGCGATTCCCCCCATATCACCTGTCACCTAGGTACACAGTCATTCTTTGACAAATATACATCCCCCGCAATAATGCATTAATCAACAGCTAACCTCATCCAATTGTTTGTCATTTCAATCTCACCAGGATCATGCACATTTGGGGCAGGGTCAATTGATTGGCATCTAACGCAGTTCGTGACCACCCTCTGGACTTTCTCCCTTTTTACAAGTGGGTTGACTTTTCACGCTCAAATATAGAGTCTTGTCCACTCCCATATAATGCATACTTTGCAACTCTTCTACTTCTCTGGTCTCTAGATAGCATACTGAAGCCTCTTTCTTCTCATGCATGACCAACTACTTTTTGAATCAAGCCGAGCTTCTCGACTTGACGGTCGAACTTTCTGCCTCTGAGCAGAAAGGAACCCGGACGAGGCTCACCAAGGGCAGAGTCTCGCTCGGGGAGAAATGACCAACCCGATCTCTTTTATAATGGGTTATAATGGGCATTTTTTGCCTGAGCCCCTCACGGGCTCGAAACCCACGATAAACTCGGCCTTGTGCCACATGCAACCCTCGTGGGGGGGTGGCTAGATACCAACTACTTTTTGTTTACTCCAGTCAATGCATCTGCCTTGTTTCTTTCCGAAGGGACAAATATTGCATTCATTTGTAATTCAAATTTGGATATCAATTCTTCCAGTATTCCTAATCTCCACTTTACTATCATTTCTCCAGCACCTTTTGTCCATATTTTCCTGCTCTCCTCTACAGTAGAGTTCACCCAACTTGGTTCCGTGGCTGAATCAGTCCTTATTTCCACCTCTCTTAACCCCCACTTTAAAGCCAAATTAATGCCTTTTAGCACAGCATCTAATTCAGCCATATTGATGTGGTTATAGCCATCTTTTTCCTCAGCCATGCTGCATCTTCTGCCACCAAACTACCAATCTCCATGACTA